CTTGAAAGGCTGAAGTGGCCAAGCTTGTGGGGTAGGTCTAGACTGGAGTACCTGAAGAGCATGGCAATGATGGTGGGCGAAGCAGGAGGCACAGGCAGAAGAGCCTCCAGCCTCTTCCGCCAGGCACTCCAAACAGAAGGTCCAGACTTGTAGTTTGCTCAGGTTGCACCAAGCAAACAAGGGTTGACCTAATATAAATAAATAGTCAAGCCATTTATGGTGCATGGGATTCCTGGGTTTAATCATTCAGTGATGTTTTACAGATGTTTCAACTGAAAGGGCCATCCCCCAACAAAGCCTCTTTTGTTTATGGTTGCACCCAGGTGGATGGGAGTCAACACTTAAAGATTGATCTTGGCTTATTGTTGACTGTTGATTCCCCCCTATGGAGATGTAAAACCTACCAGTGGTGACCTGATGGAGGGTGATATCTGCACCATGTACTTGATTGCACATTTTCCAGGGTTCAAATAATTCACTTATGGTCACTGTGATAGGTCATGCTGATGTTGGGCTGATTTTGAGAGAACCATTTTTGTCCGCCAGGCGCATCTATGCTGGAAATCAATTCACCAGCAGGTTGACGCCTACAAAAACACAGAGGAATTCGACCTCTCAACTGCTTTGGATGCTTTGATTCACCCTTTCGCACCCTGAAACCATCTGAACCCCCCTCCTCACCCACTCTTCTCAGTGACTCCTCACCCGCTTTGCCGGGTGGAACCCACCACCCCCCCCGCAGATTATGCGGGGTCCCGCCGCCCAGCGACGGACCCACCACCTCTCGGAGGCGAGCGCACGGACCGCGGCGTGTCGAAGTGGTCGGACTCGGAGTTCTCCAGCGCCAGCGCCGGGTCCCGCGAGGTCCGGGTCCCGCGAGGGCGACGCGGATCCCGCGGTCAGTTCGCTTCGGAGAGCGGCGCCGGGGTTGGTTCGGTTCGGTGAGCGGCGTTCGGAAGGTCTGTTCGGAGACCGGGTGAGGTGACGCGGGGCGTGGCGTTCCATGTTCCGTGAAACTTTTTGGGGGGGGTGCCAGGATGTGCCAGGGGTTTTCGGAGAAGGCGTTTTTTATTTCTTGTTTTTTTCTTATGTTCGGCGGTGAGCGACCGGGAGGAGTCGTTTGGTGTTGTTTTTTTGGTTTTGACTAGAAAGAGAGGTTCCAGGAAAGGAGAGAATGGAAAGGGCGACAAGAGGAGGGGATGTTCGGGAGGGTTTGCAGAATTGGAAAGAGGTTGGAGGCCTTGGAATTCGGGGCATTGGGGAGAAGGTGACAGGGCAGGGTTTGTCGAAAGGTTGGAGCGCGAGCCAAATGCTGAGAGTTTTTTTTTTTTTTTTTTAACTTGTTAATAAGGAGGGGAACGAGGGTGTTGTTTCTTGATTGGCTCCATGTTTGGTCTTTTGATATTCTTACACTGGTTTCAGAGTAGATGGCACAATCCCCAAAAGGATCCAAAAGGTGGTTTAGATGGACCCCAACATAAAGGACAGCAAAATGCACAACCTCCCAGGATGTTGGTTCAAGTGAGAATCTGCAGAAAACCCATTGTTTTCACATCCCAACAAATTCTGGGGACAAACATCCCACGAGTTTTAGCAATTGTTTATTACAGTGGACATTGGACATCCTCCAGGCTGCAAGTTTGGTGGCAGGCAAGAGGATTGTAGATGCAGTCAGGAATTGTTGCGCCACTTTTTCAGCTGAACAGGTGATACCAGGTGCAACAAGGCCAACAGAAGGGGGTTAGGTTTCGACCGGTTTTGACCAGTTGACCAGTGTTGGGAAGGTCGATTAATTTACAACAGCCCATCAGACCTTTCAGACCGAGATGAATTGACTTGAGCCAACTGACCTGGTTCTTTCGCCGTCAGGTGTTCACTTTAAAACAACATCCACTATGTTTGAGACGTCGGCCTGCAACTGAACCATCATCCACTGAAACCTGGTATCAGGAAAAGACCCAATGCCTGATGCACCTTGTAGACGTGAAGACGAAAGAGATGTCAGCTAATTAAATTGGTCAAGGATGGAGCTATAGGTCCAGCCGAGGTTCTCCCACCGAATTGGTTGGACTTCCAAGAAGAACGGGTGAGGTTCCCCCCCAAAACAAGCACCGCTGTGGACCATGGACGTCCTTCTTCTTTTGTGTGGACCGTTTCGACCGTGGGCTTCGTGTGTTCGTGGTCGGAAGGCCTGAACCGCAGGTCTTAGCCGTTTCTCGAAAGGAGTGGCGACCTGGACCTGAAGTGAGTGGATGTTCTGGGTACAGATACCTTTAGATCTTCCCACTGTGCAGAATTCCTGCCTTTTGATCCATAAGAATCAGCCCAAAGGCAGCAAAACAATTGGCATAGTTGCAAGATTGCAAGATCCAGGTCCAGGGTATATCATATCCTCCATGAAATCAAGCAAGCACTCCTTTGGTACTGCTGGAATTCGATGATTCTTTTAAACAAGCACCATCTTATGACCATCCAGCCTGTCCAGCCAGGGCCAACGGCGTCGAAGAGAGTTCGGGTGGCCCAGCCGTCTCAAGCAAGATCGCGCTGCATATCGATGGCTCCCTAAGCTCTCCATGGACCCGACACCTTCGCAGGGGTCCGGGCCCGAAGCAAACCCTATCTGTTGGTTCGGGCCCGGATTCTTAGGGCTGTAGATACAGAGGGAAAAGGTATCGAAAGAGTGACAATTGACTTTCATACCAGGGCCCCCCTATGTGGGGTGCTTCATGAATACCCCTAATCACCTCTGTTTGGAGCTTTAATTCGACACCCATGGCCCGGAACCCCCCTGGTATGTCTTCTTCTACCAGCGCGAAAGGCGCTGGTACTCCACGTACTCTCTCCGGTCCTTCACCGAGTGGCCTGACGTCCGCTCCGCTCCGCTCCGCTCCGTCCGAGGCAGAAGTTCTGGAAACAGATGCAGTCCATGACTCGAGGCGCGGGAGAAGGTTGAAGCCTTCGTCGTCTTTCGCTGGCTCGGCTGGCGGAATGGGAGGAACCGTGGCTCGGCTCGAGGTTGGGGTGAAAACACCCGTTGAAGGAGGGGTTAGGCTAGGCGGCCAGGCGCTTGTTTTCTGTGGGCCAACACGAGCTTCCCACGTCATGGGAGCGTGAGTGTTGGTATGTTGTTAACATATGCCCTAGAAGTCCAAAGACTATATTTTGACTGGCTGGAGTAAAGGAAGTTCCCGGACTCAGTTCCCCTAGTCAGATCATTCTTTTTATAGTCTTTGACTCCCAGGGTATATATATATATATTTAGTAAAGTAAATGTTTCATGGTCAGTACTCGTAACAAACAGGGCTTTTGGATGCAGAACGATGCACCCCATGGAACCTATGACAGAAGATGGTTCCTGCAGAGGTTCCAGTCCACGCTTGGTCATCCTTTTTCATCAGTCCAGGTTCCACAACCTTCGATCTTCCACAACCTTCGATCTTCCACAACCTTCGATCATCTTCGTGCATATCCGCTTCTTTTTCGCCATCCAATTCTTTGTCCCCTTATACATCAACCATGTTCGCTCTAACTCTAACCTCTACCTCTTCCGGTGCCGCGCGTGCGCGTCACGTCACGCGCGTGACCGGTCGCCACGAGGCCACGAGGTGTCGCAGACCGACTTCCGAGAAGCGCGGGAACGCCGCGGTGGTGGGGGGTGAGTGGCCGGGCCGGTCCGGCATAAAGCCAGGCCCCCTAAGGGGTGGTTAATGGATACCCCTTAACCTCTGTTTGGAGCTATAATTGGACACCCCTTGGGGGGCCCTGGAAGCCAGCTATACCCATAGACTCCATGGGACTGGAATAGGACTCCATGGGACTGGAATAGACTCCATGGGACTGGAATAGGACTGCCGCCCCAGAGTCTGACGAGACCGCACCACCCAATCGGCCGTGAAAGTCGGCCTATATTCCAGTTGCATGGAGTGTCTGGGATAGTGATTTGAGGACACCTCCATGCGTCAGGCACAGGCCATGGAGGCGTCCCAGCGCGGCAGTGCATGGCGCCCACAGGTCCTCCAAGTTGAGACAGTGTCACCTTTGAGACTTTGAGACATGAGATATCATGAGATATCAATGAGATTCTGGGTTGAACACCTTTTTTTCGTTCTCCACACCGATCCCAAGATCCCTTCGGTGCTTGAACACGGTGTTCGCCGGATGGCACTCTTCGACGGTTTGCCCGTTCGACATCGACCCTTAAAAGGGGACCGCCTGTTCGGGCTCGGCGGCCACGTGGCTTGACCGGTACCCGACGATGGTTCCTGGTAGCCGATGTTTAGTGGCTTCCATGGCAGACGACGTTGAAGTGGCAGGTGGTCACCTGGCAGCTTTTGGGGTCCCTGACTTATTTGTTGAAAGGGTGTCTCATTCAACATCGATATCGATCAGATCAGAGTAGGAATGCTTTGCAGCCATTGTGGCTCAGAAGACGCTGCTCTGAAGAGACATCTTGTGGCATGGTGGGCTTTGAACACTATATCCAGCCGGGGTCCGATGAACTGGGCAAGAAAGGCTGTCCTAAGGCTTTCAGCGGGGCTGTCCTAGAAACACATCGCTTGGAGTAGCAAAACACCCAAGAGAATGAGAATGATCAGCTATGATCAGCTTGTGGAGCCTATTCTTGAAAGACTTTGAAGGCATACCAAACATAATAACATATCCACTTCAGATCGTTTCGGACTTCGCCCGGGTCCACGACTGTGCTGCCTCGACTGGATCAGCCTTTCATCGACTGGATCAGGCTGCTGAATGAAGCACCCGTCATGAAGCACGGGGATCATGCAAGAATATGCTGCTTCATGTTGGTCTTGTAAAAGACCACTGATTTTCATGTTCCATGGATGAACTTTCCTGCCTCCTAGCATCTTCGGGGTGCTGCAGTGAACAATCTCCCCTCTTCTGACCAAGAAAAGCCATGTGGAGGATCTACCATCCACCCAACCCCTCCTTTCCTCCATCCATCCCCCGCCACTGGAGTGAGCCGCCTCATGTGACGCGCGATGGCGTCGTCGGCCGCCTACGAGCTTCGAAGCTTGGAAGGTGTGGGGTGGAAGCCACCGGAGTTTAGGGTGGTCTCAGATTTCTCCTTCGAAGGGTTTTTGAAGAGGACTCCAAATTGGCAGAGATTTCTTTGTTTGGATTTATTGATTTATAGCCTGGTAAGAGGGAACAGGCTTATTTGGAATTTGAAACTGTTGCATTTGGTCTTACACCATCCTTAGAATTGGGGGAGCCGGGAACCCAACTGGTCAAGTCCCACTTCGCTCAGAAAGGAAATATGAAAGGAAGCCATTCGGAAGATTTGGAAAAGAACCCAAGTTGCAGATCTTGTCCACTCTGAGCTTCAGAACATTCTTTTGTGACCCCAGGTCTGCTCGTCCACCCCAGAAATGGCCTGGCCTTCCGGATCTTCCGGAGGTTGAAGCGCCCATCGCCGCGACGTCTAGAGTCGACGAGTCGCAGGCCGCGGGCAAGGCTTGGTGGCCAGCAAAGACGTTCGAGCGGAGGAGGTCATCTTCGAGGAGTGCGGACAGATTCCGAGCTTTGACATGGTTTGCGTATCAGGTGATGTTTACTTTCCCGAAGTGGTTTAATCCCCTAACCTGGGGAAGATTCTATATTTGTATTCCTAGACAGCAAATCCAAGTTGAGCTGGTTGGGAGGGTGTGGATGGAGGGGTGCGGAGGGGGAAGAATCGGGTAGTGGACACTACTCCACTGAAAGGTTGGGCTTTTTTGTGGTGATGCTTTGGGCTTTTTTCGCATGCTTCGGGCTTCGACCCCCATGTTTTCAAGGAAACAGTCCACGTCGTCCACGTGGGTAAAAAAAGTGTCGGGCGAAACAGGTCGGTGCGGTTCCAGGGTGAGGGTCAGTGTGGCACTTCGGGGGGACCGTTTCGGGGAAAACATGAAGGGATCTCTCACCACGCGATCCTCCATCACTGGAAATCGATCCCATACATGGGGCTCTTCAGCCAGTCCCCGAAGGGGGAAACCCTAGGCCAGTCCCATGGGAGATTGCTTTGGGGTAAGAGAAAGGGTATACAGTACCGGGACCCTCCTGTCGGGGTGCCCTGTTTGGAAGCCTACAGGTAGTGTGGGGTAGTCCATTGGACACCCCGACAGGAGGGTCCAGGTAGATGCTGTTTGTTTGGATCAATGGGTCGATTTATTGGGGCCCATGTACTGTACTACCCTGGAAGTCAAGTCGACCATTGGTTTAAAAAGGGGAACGATCTGGTGTTACAAGTGATAGTGTGAAACCCCTTTATAAGTAAAACAATGGAACATCTGGTGTTACATGTGTGAAACCCTTACGTAAAACAATGGTGGTTCGGGAAGAACAGGCTATTAAAACAACATGGTGGGCCACGACTTCTATAGGGTGATATGTTGGATTGGTGGTGGTTCGACTTGATGGATCGTTTAAGTCGTGCTGCGATGGACTTTGGCTCGGTTTTTCGGATGGACACATGGCCGGTCTCACCATCCTTGGTACCACAGGAGACTGATTTCTGATCTGATTTGGTCGTCCCATATCATATTGTCATAGTTGATTTGACGTTTTTATTATGGACCATCCGCACCAGCAGAGGTGGGCCAGAACCCGAACGATCGACTATCCGAACGTTGGGTACCCCAGGTTGAAACCGGGTCCGACTCGTGACCTGGTCACTCTCCACCTCTGTGGGCAGTGTGAACAATTCCCGCCGAAGTTCGTTCATGTCGTGCGATGTTTCTAGTCGACCGGGTCCACGGAACCAGCAAGGCTGGCCTTTCATGTGTTGGTCACTGGACATCGTATCGCTCCCAGTGTCGCTCCCTAAACCAGAGGTGGAGAGTGACCAGGTCACGAGTCGGACCCGGTTTCAACCAGTAGCCAACTAGGACAGATCGAGTTCGTTCGGGTTCGGGTTCCCCACCAACCAGCTCGTTCAGAACCACGACCTGCTTGTGTCGATGGCTGCAGTAGGGCCGTTCCTTCGATCAGGAGCTGTCGCTGGTGACGGTCAAGACCTGGATGATCCTCAGTGGTGTGGTGGTGCTGCGCCGCGAGAAGGCGAGGCGCAGGGAGGAGTGGCGAGTGGCAAGGAGAGAGGTATTCTGTACTGGTGGGAATGGAGGATCTGATGGTTTTAAGCGATGTTGGGAGGATTTGGGAGGTGTGGGGAGAGAGAGTGAGAGAGAGAGAGAGAGATGAGAAGGTGAATGAGGATTTAGAATAGTTAGTTTTATATGACGATTTAGTTTAAAGATGGACGTACTTATGACAGGACGGTTTTTTCATGGCAATATCAATAAATAGATTGTTGAAGCCAGATAGACACTTTCACTAAATACCTCATGAGATTGACAGGACAGACATATAGACCATGGCATCTGGCGTGGTTTTCACCAAGCTGTTGACATTTGCTTTGGGGAACAAGCATTGCGGAAGCTTCGTTCTTGGAGCATGAAGCACTTTCCACACACCCGTGTGATTTTCACGCACATCTGTCTACCCGATCCCTCCTATTGCAGAAAGAAAACACCTGCACACGCCAACACCTACATCGAACCACATCGATGCGTCAGCCCTCCAACTCCATCCCATCCCTTCCCCTTCCACACCTTCACCGCCTCTGCCGCTCCGCCGCTTTGGCCTTCACCGGATGAGCTCCTCCAGGTGGAGCAGAAGTACCAGGCGTTGCCGGACGCCGCGCGGCGCTGCTATCGCTCCCTCCACCCGCTGCTACTGGGCGCAGAACCCGCGGAGCCGGCGGCAGAACCGGCGGAGTTGAGGTGCCTGGCGAGCCGGTCGGAGTGGGAGTTGAGGTGCCTGGAAGGGGATTCAGTCGATGGAAGGTGATCAAGGCGACCTGGGGCGACCGGGTTGAATCCTGAGGTTTCTCACCCCTTCCGAATTTGGAAGGCTTTTCGACATGTTTTCGGTGCCTCGAGACAATCATCCTTCTGCCTTTTCATCTGTAACACCAGCCAAGTTTGGCATACAAGGTTACATAATGTTACCTATATATATATATATAGTTGGAAGATCCAAGGATAAACTAAAGGGATTTCTATTGATAGCTCCTGAAAGAGGTCCTTCGGGCTCTCCATGAACAGTGGGTCCTGGGGGTCCTGGGTCCAAGGATTCAGGTCCTGGATCGATCGTATGCTCCTCGCAGGCCCGAGGAGCACTTGAAGGTCTGGGACTCGTGTGGCTTTGACTTCTGCGACCTCGAGGACACGCAATGGAACCAGGCGCCCTGGCCGCCAGCCTTTGGGTGGCGGGTGGTGCGACCGTAGGTAGCGAAGCAGGTGCGAACACCGTGGAGGTCGGTGGCACCGTGGTTGACTGGTACGGCAGTTGGAAGGTTCGAAGTACCCACCCAAGGATTTCTATATATTTCTTGGCACTTCTCTTTCAAAGTGCTGAGATGAAGTGGATCCTCCCAAGCCGATCAGATCCGATCAGCGTTGCGCAACCGCCGTTGAATCGGTTCCGATCCACTTCTTTCGAGCGGCGGGGGGGTTGGAGATACTAGTTCGATAGACATGTTGAACCAGTGGGAAGATCCAGGTCAATATATTTACCCCTGCGGATTGTTCCGCCGGCCCTTTTGGCTGAGGGGGGGGGGGAGGGGAGGGGAAGTTAGACTTGTCAAAAATCCGCGCCGTGGGTACAATTAGACCAAAAACAAAACAACTACTAGGATAACATACACAAACCAATCACCTAAAACACGCCGCGCCCAAGGGCCGGCGGATTCCATACACGAATGGAGGATGTCCGTTCTTCCTGGCAGTGGTCCACGAGCCTTCGAAGAAAGGGCAACCTTCATCCTCGAAGTCTGCACGAAGACTGGACCGCTGCCTGGCTCCTCACCCATCAATTCCTGCGAGTAGTTCAGCCCCTTGCATCCCAGACCCCAGACACTCCGTGTATGGCATATTTACATACATTGACCCCCAAAACCACCCCAATGTAGTAAGGCATACATGGAGTGCCTGGGTATAGCAAAAAGATCATTGGAATCAACTTATTTATGGTTTGACAATGCCATGATCCGCCATGGTGCTCCCCAGCGCTACAAACAAGTAATCTAAGAGAACCATCAGGCCACCACCTTCCAAAGCCTCGGATTTTCATGCCATGCTTTGCGCCAAATCGGGCGCGCCGGCAGGTCTTGCATTTGATGATTTGTCCCACACTGCTGAGTCTGGCGTGTGGAGGTGCTTACGCCTATCGCGCACACGGGCAATACGTGATGCTCGTCCGGGCCAGGTTATGGTGCCTTTGGTGGGTGAGATGGCGCCATCTCCCAGACAAGACTTGCTTGAGACTGACCCGCCTGGATCAGACATGCCTTGTATCTATAAAATCAACCAAAAGGCAGACCTGGAAGATCAGGGTATATAATGGTAGAGTATATGCTACAGCGATCACCTGGCAAATTTCCTTGTTTGATGAAGGGGTCAATGTATAGGCAACTATGTCGTACGGGTAAGACTGTCCAACAATCGCTGGTGTCCTTTATGTTTTTTGATTTTCAGGTGGTTTCGTGCACCGAGCTCCAGGTGCTTTGAAGATGCTGAACCCAACGACTCCACAGCCCAACTCTTGCACTCTGTGGCTTTTCCAAACCAATACCCACCTGAACCAGGGTCTCCGACGTATGACTGAAATGGAGACATTCATCGCAGTCGCAGCTGGTTTTTCATGGTATTTCTGTGAAGTCGGGTTCTGTTTGTTCAAGTTTGTTCTTTTTTGGGGGGGAGGGGGGTTTGATTCATGAACTGTCAACAGTCAATATCTTACTGAGCAGAACTTTGCATGCACTCTATGTCGGGTTTGGAACGCTGCTTCAGACGGTCGACGGTCCCTGAACTCCGGAACCCTCCCCCCCGATCGAAGCAAAGGGGTGCCTCGGTCCTTGCTCCGGCACCAGAGGACATAGAGGAGCCAGCAAGACCTGTTAGTCCCCTGAACCCTCGGCCGAACGTCGGGTTTCACCGACCGCCGATCGAGCGGGGTTGGGTCTGTCGCCGTTCGTCGAACTCCACGAGGAGATCCATCTTGGCGGCGGGGGTGCTCTTCTTCGCCATCCTGGGGCCCTTCTGCGCGAAGCTCTTCTACTTCGGCTCACAGGGCCTCTTCGTGACGGCTGCCAGGCCACGGACGCGTCGTTACGGGTTCTGTGAGATGGGTCACGGGATTTTGGAGGAAGACTTCATATCCCACACTCACCCTGTACCTGGATCTTCCGACTGTGAGGGTTCTGTGAGCCTTTTCATCCCAAAAATAGACAGCCCAAAGGCTGAAATTGGTCATGTCGTTGGAAGATCCAGGTACCAGGAGTCACGTTCGACGGGGTGCCGAACTTGGAGGTAGGAGTTGGGTGCCCCTGTCACATCCACTCACTGGATGGGACTAAACACCACCCCTTCTTGTGACCCCTGGTATGTTATATTAGCTTTACAGGTCAATGTAGGCATTCCATCTTAGTATCTTCTGAGACCGATGATCCTGTCAGTGCAGCTGACCAGCGCACTTCTTGGCAGTCTTGGCCGCTCGGGCCAGTACGTGCCCTCGAACTGGTGATGTAGACTCTTAGATGAATAAACCTTCCCCTTTCAAGAAGATGTTCAATTCAAAATAGGGTGGTTTATATTAATCAAGAGTCTAAATAGTCTACATTCTCCTGTTTTTTGGGATCCTATTTTTTGGGGTTCCCCCCAAAGTCCACCCAGCTGCTTCCAACGCTCGGGGCGGAACGTCGAGTCTCGTCGACGCACCACGGTGTGCGCATCGGTGTTCGCTGGGTGCTGCACGTCATGAACGTGGGTTTTCTGATGGCTTCAGACTAGATGTGAGCGGCCCAGGCCACTCCCCAAGTAACAATCTGAAGTGAGGTTCATGATGGTTCATGTATGATGCCTCCGCGAAAACTTCATTCAGACTTCATGTGACCATTGGCCATTGGAGACGGGATATGACTAGTGATGAAATGACTAGTGATCTTTGGATGGCTTCCTGTTTTTGGGTCCCTTCACCAATGAGGGAGCCCTCAGAGTAGGTGTCAGTAGGACTGAAGCGACGGACTTCTTCAGGGTTTCAGCGGATGAGTTTAGACTCCAGCTCAACCTGTGGTTGAATGGTCGAATGGGAGACGGTTCTTGGGTCTTCCACCACCCTGAAACCCGTTGTGGGAAACTGTCCTCACCTCCGTGTCTCAGGTTGAACCATAGCTGTCTACCCAACTGCGAAGTGCGGATTGAGGGCAAGGGACGGCCTGCGAAGATGGTCCTTTGCGCCAAGAAGCAGGTGAAGAAGGGCCAGGAGAGAACAGATGAGGATCATTCATGAAGCAAATCCCAAGTTCTTTCCCTGAAGTGTTTGGCGTCCTCCCCGCGTCCAACCGCGTCTTCTTTTTTTCTTCCGTCTTTCACAGCCTGAGCGCCACCGAGCTCGACATCCTTTTCGCTCGCTCGAGAGAGTTCTAAGCTAAGCACCCCCCCGCCAGCGGCGACACCTCCAAGGGATCTGAAGGCGACACCAGAGACACCTGGACCGACCAAGAGACACCCCGGGGCTGGGCTGCAACCTGGACCTTCAAGGGGTGTCCTGGCTGGAGGTCCCTGATCGTAGTGGGCTGGGGCGGCAACAGCCAGGTGACCCCGAACTGAAGGTGCTGGAAGAGTGTAGTGAAGTCCTGAAGAGCAGCTCCATGCCGGACCGGTCTATATACTTCAGACGTGACCGAAGATCGCTGCTTTCTCCTGAGGAGCTCACCATCGACTACATTAAAGAGCTGGCGCACTTGGACCGCTTTTTTGTATCGCGCATCGCACGACTGTGGGCGCGGACCCAGACACGACCTGTTTGGGACTGCCAGTCCGGACTGCCGCCCCAGACCCCGGCACCACCCCTGGCCTGAGTCCGATGGCAGTCCCAAACTGGTCGTGTCTGGGTATATAGCCTAGCGCTTAGAATGGCCGGACGTCTCCTTTTTTTTTTTGGTGCACATGCGGTGGAATTGAGGAGGATTGATTGGATTGTGTGTCAGCGTTCAGCGGAAGAGAACTGGGGTGAGCTGATGTGGGTCCGGCTATATGTACTTCTGTACTCTTGCTAATTTTGGAAAAGTTAGGGGTAATGACACCGCATTTCTGGAAGATGCACGGTTCTTACCCCAACACTCCACTGCCATGCATGGTATATTCGACTAATTTCGACTTTGAGATGTTTTTAAGGGTCAGTCAATGTACCAGCACCCTCCAACAGGTCACCACTTGACACTTTTAAGTCTCCAAAAGCTACCAGAGGAGACCTGTAGAGTCGGGTGCTGGTATATAAATTCCATATATTGGATGGTCTGGGTTGGATAGCCCTTGAATCGACGTGTCATTTTTCAGACCTCGACGTCTCGCATCGCGTTGCACCCTCCACTCTGTCTGCAGTGGCAGCCCAACCCTCTGGCGCCTGCAGGAGCCCTCTGAGCGCCGCAAGCTCCTGCAGCAAGACTATGGCTCCCTGTATTGAGACACCACGATCTTCCAAACTATATGGGTGTTTTAATAAGGAGCCCCGCAACCCACCGGTTTTGGATGGTTTTGGTCTATTTTCCTTCTTCCAGAGGGTCTTTAAAAGTGTCTTCTATATGCAAAATGTTTGCTTTTTCATCTGTAAAACTAGCCAAGTTCCGCAGAGATGTTGCGTTGGAAGATCTAGGCCTAGGTATGGAGAGGGGGAGAACGGCTCCGATTTTTGGTGTGCGCGAGTTTGGGGTTTCTCCGGAGGTTTCGACCGCCGGCAAGAGTGAACGAGTCTTTTGGTTTGTACCATTGGAAGTGAATGGGGACCGTGCTCCAGACCATCCATGGGACTGGAATTGGTACATTGGATGACATCGCGGTCATTTTCCTGGGTATGCATCTTTGACGCTTTGACTGGCCATCCTCCTGCATGTGGTTTGGTCTTGTTTTTTTTGGGACGCGCAGTGGTCGACCTATAGATTGGAATGGTTGGCACACTATACCTGCCAGCACCGGAACTCAGGGTCCACCTGGCTGGAACGGCCGACCTATTCTGGGACCTCGGCACCAGACGTCCATGGGGATGATGAGGAGAAGCTTGCCAACATGGTTCTACCACCCTCCGACCCTCGGGGGGTCCTGGCGCTTCACTACCCCACACGACCGGCCGTTCGGCTTCCAGGGCACCCCGGGTCCTGGTAATTAGATTGCAGGCTTTGGGCCACGGTGCACATCTCAAACCGTCCAGTCGACGGCTCCTTCACGTTGCCAGACTGGGATCGAGGATGTGCCGACGTCACGTCGCCAGACGGGACGCGTGACGAAGGGGGCCCCTAGCGCAAGATCCAGTCTGAGCCAAGTCCACAACCTGGTCCTTGCTTGAAACCTTGAGTTGGTGTTTTCGTCGTAACAATTCCCAATAGTTCAATGAGGGCCAACAGACCTGTGGCGTTTGGAACTGGCCTCTTTGTGGGCGGAACGGACGAAGCGAGGCTTCCTGTGCCGCTGCCCCAAATGCCTGGCCCTGGACCGCGCGGTTGCAACTGCGGAGGAGGAGGAAGAGACGTGACCAAGTCCTGCTGTGAAAAAAGGGAGGAGCTCAGTCGCGGCATGCGCCGGAGCCTGTGGACCGGAGGGATGTTTGCAGAACTATACCTACCACCTACATGGATGGCTGGACCACCACCTTTTGAATCCTTTTGACATCTTTTGAATGTGTTTTGAATTGGACCAAACAGTTCGCATCTCATCCCCCAGAAAAACGAAGGTCACCTGGCTAGTCGTCGCTCGCAATCGCCCGCATGTTGTCCAGCATGGATCTCCAGCCTCAGGACACCCCCGAGTTTGCAAGGTCCAGGTACTGCACAGACTCTGCACAGGTTGTCTAATGAGGCACCAGAACGCTGCAAGAATCACGACTTTTGGACAAGGCCTGCAACCTCACCATCATCCACTGGCAAACAGGTATTGATAGACCCAATCCAAATCCAGCTTTCCTTTTTTGGGGGTCGACCACTACCTCACACCTCGCTGGCCAGGCACTGGGCCTCGCCGCTGGCCCCGTCGTGGGCGACGCACGGCTAGGGCGCCAGGCCCGAGCAGCGAAGAAGGGGTGTAGCAGCCAGGGGAGGGTGGTTGGATAAATACATCGAACATACAGCGGGGTATAGGGGAGGAGCATGGGGTGCTTTTATGGTGGTTGTTTTTGTTTGTTTGTGCGCTACTGACTTAAGCATGGTGCTACAGTCACCAGTCTCGAAGTTTGGAGCTGCGAAGCATTTGCACCAGGACCTCTTCTTGGAGCAACGTGCTTTTCACCACGGCAAGGGCGGCAAGGTGCTTCGGTGGTCAACGGGGCAGTGCTTTACAAGCACTAGGAGCAGCAGAAAGGGCAGGGGACGCGCCACTCGCGTTTGACTTCCAAGACCATTACTATAATACAATGGTTGACCTGGTTTTGGAGTGTCAACTCCTTAGTTGAAGCCGGTGGTGGGCGAAGCCACCCTCGTGGGTGTCCCGCTTTGGGAGCCGAGGGCCGAACCGGCCGAACCGAGCGGGTCTCAGGTGGATTCCAACTGTTTCCGTCCGTCCCACCTTCCGAACCTCCTGGGTGTCCTGGCTGGACAGGAAGAGCCTCAGGACACCCCCGAGGTTCGGAAAGGCGGAGAGGTACGTGTCATGAGGACGCTGCAGGTTTGGATGTATCCAAATCCAGCTTTCCTTTTTGGGGGGGTTGACCACTACCTCACCTCGTGCCTCCCATTTCACCGCCCAGTGACATGTATGGAGATTTGAGAGACCCAACTAACTCCAACATCAGCCCGGCAGACATTTGGCAGACGTTGGGAAAATCCAGGGATAGTATCCCTAGAAGTCCAGGAACCGACTATATTTTGGCTGGCTGGAGGTTTCAGGAAGTTCCCGGACTCAGGTCCCCTAGTCAGACCATTCTTTTTATAGTCTTTGACTCCCAGGGTATAGGTATAGCATGGTATAGCATGGTATAGAAGATCCAGCTGTAACCCCACGGTTTTGATCCGAATCACGATGCGACTCCACACCGACCTCCGTTCTCCGGGGCCCCGGAGATCGTTCGCGCCACCATGTGCCGCGGTCGGTCAACGACGGTCGGTCCGATCCGGTCCTGCCATGAGTGTTTTCGCCCTCCCTTCGATTGGAGAGGACCGTAGGAGTTGGGGGGTGGTTGGCTGGGTCCGAGATCGCTGAGGTTAGTTCTATTTTTTTGCGAATCAAAGAAGTAGTCGACTGCCAGTGTATAGTCGATATTACCTATATCACCTGGCAGGTTCGGGTTCACCTGGCTGTTGCCCCAGCCCACCACGATCAGGGACCTCCAGCCAGGACACCGCTTTCAAGAAGGTACAGCTAGGTCTCCCAGGTAGGTCGGAGGACATGTCCTCATTCCACCGCCCCTCTTCAACGCGCCCGACCCAGGGGTCTCGGCGACACCGCCCCCGTCAGACTGGAGGAGACGACACCGGAACCGGAGACGCATGGAGACACCGCGGGAGACAGCACGCCGTGGTGACCAGGCCATAGAGAGCTAGTGGGGTGAAACCCCGTTCAGACTGTTTGACCATCCGTATATACCATGCATATTAACATAGCGGCATAGTGTGTTTTGCTTGGTGGGACATAAGAATGTAGACTCTTGATTTGTAAACCCCTCCCAATTGAAATGAACATCCTCTTCATATGGGGGGTTTATCAATCAGGAGTCTACATTGGCGCGCTTGTTGCTTTTAACTTAAACAGATTTTGCTGTTGTGGTTTCAATTGGTGAACTATGTGGCGGGCAGCTTGTTGGGCAAATCTGTGGTTTCATGGTGGTGCTGTGCAATTTTTTTCTCTCATGGTTTCCCTTCAATCAGGCAGCAAGGCATGTTTTTTTTGGTAACCTTGCACAACACACCCCAAACAAGGCAGCCCCAAGCCGATGAAGTTTAGACTTGTTTGATGGTTCTTAGCTTTGTGCGCTTGCAAATGCACATGGCCATGAAAGACAAACAGGATGTTGTGAACCGCCTCATGGAATTTCTATATAGCACATCGTGTGTTGTTCAATGACTGGACCACGTTTACTGCAATCTACGTGTTGTCACAATGTTTCACATGCTCCTTTCTTATGCTTTGACGCGTGTTATCACAAAAAGATCTTCCAACACCACCCACCCATCACGCTTGGATTCGCGTTGGGACTCGTTCGTGCCCCGTGTTCCGAATGACTTGGCGTGTTCAGGCTCCTGAGTCTTGGTCCCGTGAGCTTGAGATGAAAGCAAGCAGAGATGTTCAAGCGTAGACTGTTGACATGTTCTATCCTGACAAACCATGTCTAGTTCACTCTCAAGGAGGTCTGAGGTTCTTTAGACGCTTGGAGGTCAGACATGTGCCATCCGCGGTGCCACCGTTCCGAATCCTGAACCGGTCCATGAGATCCCTCAGTTCCGTAAGGAACTGAACCTCATGAAATACTGGAGATGGTCATAGAACACCGAGGTCGGAATAGGAGGTATAGAAGACCAGGTTTGGACCTGGGTCAGACTGGACGAACGTAGGGAGATGTGAAAACATGAACCAATCAACATGAGGGGTGTCATACTTCGTGGGCGGTGCCGGACAGCTGGAATAGTTCTGCCGCCCCAGAGCCAGGCCCGGCCCTCACCCCTGGCCGTTTCTCGGCAGTCCTATGGTAGTTCCATGGAGTGTTTGGGGTGTAGACTGTTGATCAACCATCCCCTACCAGGCTGGTTTTACATCTCATGGCAGGATCGTCAACCGAACTTGAGATCCGATGAGGTCATGTACCTGAACAGGTCACAAACAGAGTCTCCAATCAGGTCACGAACTAAAGGTGCTGGTGGGGGGGGGTTGACTTCATCGACCTAGAGCACTCGAGCCTGAGTGACCTCTAGTTTGGACCAGCGAATGATCCACTCACTGGATGGAACTAAACCCAACTCCATGTGACCCCTGTCCATGCTTTTCTTCATCAACAGTCTACTCGTCATGACCCTCTTCGGGCCCGAAAGCACAGTGCCCCGGGCGCTCGCGATCCATGCGTTCGTGCGTTCGTGCGTTCGTGCTCAGACTCGCCCAGACTCGCGAGCGAAGGCGTTCGGTGCCAACGTCAAGGGTGATTTGCAGAAGTCCGTTCGGCTCAAATCCCAAACAATCCATGTCATGCAGATTCTTGATTCATCGGGCCCCCCCTGTTTCTTTTAAACCAACATGGGAGGGTTCTAAACAGGGTTTTATCCATCAAGAGTCAAGAGTACATGACGTAGGAACCCTCACCAGGAACCCTTATCTCAACAGTTGATGGCTGGGGGAAGTCCATGGTTGGGATTTAGAGTCTCATTCCCAGACACGACCCATGGGACTGCCATATATGCCGATCACATGGGAGTCCTATTTTTCCACCACTACCAGGTTGGGGGGCGCTGTTCATGACCATTCCGCAGACTCAAAACACGATGCTCCGAATTCTGCGACCCATCCTCGACCTCTGGGGAGTCGGCTCGGCACCCTTGATCTTCCGGCACCCTGTGTTTGGCGGAGTTGGGCACAGGATAGCTTTGCCGATGTTTGTGTTGCACCGGAACTGGGAAAGCTTCTCGCTGATTTCGGCGCCTGTTTGAGCCTTGGTCGACCGGTCTGACTGGAAAGGTTCGAAAGGGAATTCTGGAGACGCAGTCGATCTTTTGGTTTCTTAATATAGCTGTTTTGACGACGCGGCACTGTCCTAGGCAAGATACTTCTTGCTGTGGATTTGTTGCAACTGATGAAAAGACGCCTTTAAAAGTCGATGAACTTTGGCAAACCTCGGATTCGTCAAATCATTCGTCAAATCATCCATGGGACTGGAAGCGTTTCATTTACCCCATCAAACATGACCAATCCATTCAAGGATTCCAGTCCTTTTGGAGGATGGTGACCTCAGGCCGCACAGTACCAGTATAGCCGCTACTGTGACCTCATGCTCAAAAAGGTGCCAGAGAAGGATGCTCTGGTGTTGTCAATAAACCAAGCCGCTTGAGTGGCGATGAGATGGTTGGAAGAAGCAGACATGAGTCATGAGATGGTTTCAGAATCCGAACGGGAGTCTTATCAATGTTAGGAGCTTAGAAAATACGCCCTGGACCCTCACTGCCAGGTCTTTATAATTTGGGAAGGGCCCCAACTGCCCAGGTCTCTTGGTAACCTGTAGAGTCAGGTGCTGATATTATGGATGTCCAATGATCAGCTATCTTACATTGACCCTGAAAAATCAATGGCTGTTGGTCAACACCGGCAACCCCCTTTTTTTCCCACCGATGAACAGAATAGATGTCAATAGGGATGGGGTCCCAGTATAGTCGCTATACAGGTACATGCCATATACTTTTGGCTCAAGTGCCCAACCAGGTAAAAAGGAGCTTTAGCGCGCGAGCTTCATGTTGACCTAAGAGCTAGAACGGGGCCAGGGCACACCTTTCCATCCGTTCGCAGGTTATCAGCCGTATCCAGACTCCCTTGAGCTGGGTACGAGCTGCGGCCTTACACAACACC